CCTATAACATATATGCTATATATTTTATGTGTATTTATACATGTGTATGTATGTATATGTATCTCCTATATCTATGACCTACATGTAATTGAAACCTTTCATAGTGTTTTGCCTATTGTTATCCTTTGTCAAATATTTATGGGCTTCGAAGTAAAATCTGGATTTACAGATACTTAAAAAAAAAAGTCTGTAATGTAGGTATTTTTTTTACTATTTTAAAATTAGAATGTCAGGTATCAACACAATACAAACAGTCTAACTAGGTTTGACTAACCGTTGTGCTACATGAATCCACACTGAGTAGATAATCAGACGCTAACTTGTATGACATAAATAAAAGGTAAGACATGGCAAAGAACAAAGAGTTTATAGAATGAGTAAAGTATCATTGAGTAAAGTATCATGATAAACGTGAAACTCCGGCTTGACTTTAAAGAATAATTAGTAGTTAAATAAGTGAATAGAAAAGGACTATGTGTTCTGACACAAAGTCAGAAGGCAAGACTAACGTACCTCAATCAGGGAGACAAGAACGTGAGCTATGCGCTATGTTCCAACTAGAACATTCATCTTTAGTACAGTCTTTCAATTTTCCTCTTTTTTTAAGCAGCTAGAACAATTTTATCTAAGTGCAACAGTTTTATTCTCCAGAGCTGGGAATCCTTCATTCCTTTGCCTGAGTGCATCAGGTATTTTGGTCCCCTTGCTCTCCCTCTATGGGAGTTTACCTTTGGTCTGACTAGCTCAGCCTTGGCCAGGTACCATCGTGGACTTTCGGATAGACCCACACACACACCGCCACCACCACCTCCCCACCTCGCCTCCAAACACAAGCTCAGAAGTCTGCTTTTGATGTGATCCTCTGCGTTGCTGGAGGAACACGGAGCAAGAGCTCAGAAATGAAAGGATGCTCCCACCTTCTGCCTTGCCCCCGCTCTCGGGCGCATGTGCTGAATTCTGGAGCCAGCATGGCCTGATAGGAGAGGCCTTTTTGTGCTGTCATTTTCCCCCACCATGTTGCCCTTTGTCTCAGCCGCCATTTTTACCTCTACCCACCTAAGCAAAGTCACCTGTTCCCGCCTATCAGATGGTACCCCTAAATGAGGTTAATGTTTTAAGTTCCCTTTTCTTTCACAGCAACATGTAAATGTGCTTCTGTCTAGATAATGTTTCGCTCAATAACGTCAACTTTAATTTACAACAAAGAATTTTGGAAGCCATTGGAAGTGGTGGGTCTTTTATCATGTTATTCTAAGTATTAAGAGTAAGAGAGAAGAAGAAATTCAATTAGAGTCCAGATTATATTTTATTCCATAAAACCAAAGCCCCGAGAAAAATCCCTTGATTTATAGCCTCTCAAATTAACGGTAGTCTGGGATCTATGTAATAACTGGAGATTGCTATTACCATCCATATGTAGCACTAATGGGGAGAATAAATACCTACTAGTCCAAACAGATAAACTCCAAAGATAATATCTCTAGCTAGTGAAAACAGAATGAGCCTCTTTGGGTTAATGCTGCTCTGTCATTTGTTTCTTTCAGGCTGGTTCACCTTTGTCTTCTAACTGCTTCATCTATCAACACCCCTTTGCTCACCTTTTCCAACCAAAACTATTTGCAACTTTAGTCCTTTTGTATGTTAAAAAAAAAAACATTGAAATGTTTCTTCCTTGACCCAGGAATAGCTGAAATAATGTAGGAGAGAAAGTTCAAAAACTTTTTTTTCAAAAAAAGAGAAAGGAATAGGGCTGGGAATGGGGTTTCATAGTAAAGTGCTTGCCTTGCATACATGAAGCCCTGGGTTCAATTCCTCAGTACCACATAAACAGAAAAATCTGGAAGTGGCCCTGTGGCTCAAGTGGTAGAGTGCTAGTCTTGATCTGTATCCAGGCCCTGAGTTCAAGCCCCAAGACTGGCAGAGAGAGAGAGGAGAGAGGGGGCGGGGGGGATAATGGAGCAAAAATAACCAGTATATGTATGGGACAAGCAGAAAAGGGCAAAAGCTATGAACATATGACCAGATAAGATGATATTAAGCAAAATGAATGCCAAGATGGGACACAAGTGGTTTTTTTCTTTCTTGCTATTGTTCCATGTGACTTTTTTTGTTTCTTTGTATGTTCCTCCCCCACCCCCCCGTATAACCCCTGTATTTGATGTTGATGCCTTGCATCTTGTACATACACTTCTCTAGCTTGGGGAGGGGAAGGGGAAAAACAAAATAGGGATACAGGTTGACCCATTGTAACAATGGGATGTACAAGACACTATGTTAAAAAATAAACTTTATAATTTAAGCGGAGAGGAGGGCAAGAGGGGGAGTGTAGTTGTGGAGGTGGGAGGCAAGGGATGGTAGGGGAAAAACAAAGGAGGAAGCAACAATGCTTGATAGGAAATGTGCTCATTACTTTGCTGATGGAACTGTAACCCCTCTGCACAGTTTTTTTACAATAAAAAACATATTAAAAATATTCAATTAAAAAATGGAGCAACGTATGCTAAGAGTCTATTTGGTACCAGGAAATAAACCTCTCATGAAATGGTATTCAAAATATCATAAGAAATGATAGAAAATAAGATAGAATGGATGGATCCAAGAAAATGATTCACTGTGCATCCATAACTTACCGCATTGGCTTTCTGTTTAAAGAAGTGGATAGAATGAAATATATTAGCAAAAACTGAAATGATACACAGGTCTGTTAGCCTTTGGCATATGGGAAGCTAAGGGCTAAGGATCTTCTGAATTTTAAAAGTAAAGCCAAACACAATATCTATAATTAATTATCTATAATCTATAATCTGAGCCAAAATTTCTGGTATATGTCTGTGGTTACAGACAACATCACCACCAATAATATGTATTAAGCATTTGCCATGGGCCAGATATCGTGAAACTGAAGAGGCTACAGCATGCAGTGAAAGTGCACGTGACAGACAAGACTTGTCCCTACACAGCTTACATTTTGCCACATGAAGAGTGAAAAATACAATACAGTTGGCTAGGGAATAAACTATGACTAATTCTCTGGAACAAAGTATCCTGGCTTTATAACAAGGTAGCTTTTTGCTGACTTAGCGATTTTACAGTACACCAACTCTTTTCCAAGAAGAAAACATGTGCTCAATTTCTGGAGCTTTATAAAGGAATACGATGGAAGGCCAGAGACAAATTCGCTTTGAACTCTGCCAGACCAGAAAACACAACACTCCAGGTTTGGAGTCAAACTGATTTAAATTTGATATCCAGTTTCATACACAATGACCTTAGGAGAAGTAGTAACTCTCTTAATTGTTTTCTCATCTCTGAAATAGTGCCATAATAGTGTTATAAGGATTTAATGATGGAATTCATAAATTTTAGTCATATTACGTGGCATATAATTGCTGATTTAATAAATTACAATTTCACTAATTTGTAATAACTTGTATATTACACTTCATACGCCCATCTTTTCCTCATGCATAGGTAGTTTACCTGTCTTTCCTCAGTGCTGCTTCTATACTTCTGCCCTTGAAGCAGTTACCTTCTTTCAAATTCACAATCAGCTAATGTGAGAATCTAATCTCTAAAAATGTGCTAAAGGGAAGGATAAGAGAAGAGGACAGTGACTATCGCCTGTCAACTCAAACAACCGTTGGTGGTAAAAATATGATCTTGGAAACAAACACTGTACTAAAAATTGCCTAGGCCAAAGCAGTGATTCACAGAGTGAATTTTAAACAGCAACATCTGGGAACTTGCTCTAGTAACTCTCAATAACAATGACTACCTCTGTTACGTGTGCCAGCAGGCCAGCAGGCATCTTTTCAAAACAAAGTTCAAATTCATATTGTGTCCCATTTCATATAAAGTGAGTATAAAGAAAATTCATGTGTTCTGGAGTATTCTATAAAAACAAATATAACTCCTAGGAAAAACAGGGCTTCCAAAAGGTTAACTATGCAAGTAACATTTGTGATAGAGTAACAAGTTAGAACTGGATCTCGAGCCAATAATTCTAAACCACACCATGTTAACTTAATGAGTTCAACTACATATACAAAGTAGCACTTCGAAAACCTCCCATTCCAAAAAAGCCAAAACATGTTAGACAATGGCAAGAATGTCACACCCTTTCCCACACTAACAGGCCTTTGTCTCAAGTGAAAGTCTCAGAGTTGGGTCAGCTATGTCCTTGTTTTTCTAGACGTCATCTGTCATTGAGCATATACTCAAATTTCATGCAACCTGATTTAAGCATCTAACTGGCTGTTTCTGATCATAATAAACATTGGACCAAAGCAAAAGCTTGATGATCCTGCCACCTAGTGGCTACAAAGAAACTAGAGCAGACCCAACATGACAAGGTCTGACAAACACCATCTCCAAAATTCTCAGAATGTAATCATTATGAATCTTAGATGTATAAAGGACCAATCCTAAATACAAACCATATAAATTTTTTCTTGTCTCTGGGTTTATCTTAGAGTCTATGCAAGGAAGCAAAAGATGTACATTTGCCAAGTATATTTCCCTTCAAGGCCCCACAGCAAACCTTTACAGATCTTCAAATAAAAATTTCTTTTTAAAAATGTTGGAAGATTTACAACTCTATTCCTTAATTTTGTGGTATATATGCATAAGATTTTCTTGGTCTTTGCGTGATTTTTCTTCTTGGATATCCTCTATCAAATATAAAAGCCACCTGGCCAAGCCATCACAGAAGTTCTTTTTGAGTAGCTAAGGTGTTGTTAGTCAAAGGATAGTTAGACCTCCACAAACCAGCAGGAGTTTTCTTTAAAAGAAGTGTAACCCCCCTAAAGTACACATCTAAAAGCAAGGACCACATTGAACACTGTAGGAAGCCATATGAACCAGCTCCGCTCAGCATAAGCTATATCTGCCTTAACCATTAGAAGCTATGTCTTCTCAAACTTGCCTGAACCTCTGACAGGCAGGACAGCAGGAATCCTGGAATACTCTTCTTCTCCACCAAAAAGAGCACTGACTCTTACCTGTTGACGCTTGAAGGCTAAATAATCCAAATTTTCTAGCTCTTTTCCAAGCTTCTGGTAGGTTTTCTGGAGGTCAGATTTGTTGGAAACATTTTTAAGAGATTCAAATGTTCTTTGAAACTGAAAATGAAGACAAAAAGATCATTAGGGTAGCAGCATATTTTTCTCACATCCCCAGCTGGCTAACAGACAGAGTCAATAATAAGGTTCAGTTTCTCCCATCCATAATACAGAGATAATAAATGCTAGTTAATTATCTTTCAATAAAATAATTAGAGACAATTATAAGGCATTAGAAACTGTGTCCAATGTGCAACTCGTGTTATTTGCATGAATGAGAAACCTGTTTTAGTTCTCATTCTAACAAAGAAGAATTAATTTAAAAACAAGCCTTCAAATGTGGAAGACAACACTCTTTAATAGTATCTTATCCTGGGGTCCAGAATTAAGAGCTCCAGGAAACTCACGTAGTTTTTCTGTTCTTTCAGTGATGACCATCAATTTCAGCCAAATCTCTCACAAAAACAAACAACAAAACCCTTGCCCATGCAGTTTTTATGTTTGATTTTCTCTTATATTTCCTATGACCTTTTCATCAACCATGAAGGGCTTTAGAAACAATAAGTGATTCAACAAAAATAAGCCTTCATATTTGATCCATTATAAGGACATATTAAAAACAAAAACAAGAATACTCTCCTACAGGGCTACTTCAGAGGCTGAGATAGCGATTCTAAGCCAGTCTGTGCAGGTAAGTTAGTGAGACTCTTATCTAAAAAAAAAAAAAAAAAAAAAAAAACTACAAAGGGAAAAAAGTCAGCAGCAGAGCTGTGGCTCAAGTGATAGAACACTATCCCTGAGCAAAAGAAGTTCAGGATCAGCACATAGGCCCTGAATTCAAGCCTCAGGAATGGCATCCAAAAAAGGAAAGAAAAAAAAAGCTCTCACAATCCAATCATGGAAATAAACAAATTTTTGAAAAGGTATTTGCTTGTATGATATTTTTCTGTAATAGCATGGGACTTCCCTCTAGAAAGCTTATGGTAAATAAATCACCCAGCAAGCTTCAAAAAGTAAGAACTCTCAAAGAAGGAAGGAAACTAATTTATTTGTTTGTTTTGCCAGTCTTGAAGGGCCTGGGCTCTGTTCCTGAGCTTCTTTGTGCTCAAGGCTAGCCCTCTACTACTTGAGCCACAGCTTTTTCTGAGTAAGAGTCTCATGGACTTTTTTTTTTAACAGATAAGAGTCTCATGGACTCGTCTGCCAAGCCTGACTTCAAACCCCAGTCCTCAGATCTCAGCTTCCCGAGTAGCTAGGATTACAGGCATGAGCCACCAGTGCCTGGTGAAAACTAACATTTAGATAATCAAAGAAGATGTGACAAATTCCACTATCAATTTCTTCTCTGTAAGATACACACATTATTAAATCAGTCTAGCTAAATCAGAATGTTCCCATTTATTTTTAAGTCAGATACTGGATAAATACAAAGGTGACAAGTTGTAATACATCACAGAATAGTGTCTGCTACTAATAACTAATTAAGCAAAGAGAATTCACAGAAAATTGAATTCTTGGTTTATTTCAGTAAATTAGAACATACTTTGGAAGGTTAATGATTGAAAATGTCAAATAATACAATTTGCAAGACATTTTCATTAGCTGTCTCTTTCTGCCATTTATTTCCCATATTCATTCTGTACCCTTAGTCAGATTTCTACAGATAGAGACTTCACCATCAGCCACACACCCTAACTCCACTATGACTATGATGCTATGAGACAGGTTAATAAGATTTTATAGAATATAATTAAGTTTCCAGGGAAATGATTTGACCCTTACTATATCAAACTCTATGGAGTTAGTCGTTAGAAAAAGCATTCCATTGAATTAAATCCTCAATTTCATGAAAGCAACAAATTTATCTCAATACAAGGGAAAAGGGAAAAAAGAAATGGGAAATAACAATGCTAAAGTGAGGTTCCACAGCAGGACATCAAATTAAATTCAACAAATAATCATTTAAAACTGAGATGCTCAAGGCACTCTGAATATGAAACATGTTTTCTGCCCTAAAGGAACTCACAGGGTACAAGAGAAACTACACATGAAACTCAGAAATGGTAAGGACACTGGCATTTATTGAATGCCTGTTCAACCCCAGATACTTTACGCTTTCCAACTGAATTCTCATTAGAACAACAGGAGTTCCTACTTCTATTCTCATTGTACAAGTACAATCTGGGATCAGAAAGCTTGATGAAACTAAGCAGGGAAAGCAGTCAGGAGACTGCAAAAAGAGATAAAAGTCACATAAAGTAAAATTTTAAAACTCATTAATGCTACACAGTGTAGAAGACATGAGGGAACTTAAGTTGGGCCACTAAGAACAGGAAGACTTTTCAGAGTCCTAAGTATGAACCAGTTCTGTTCTGCTTAGAAACAATCACATCGGCTCTTTTCTCCCTTCTCATAATATAACAAATTCTTAAACACTGGAGTTCATGGACCAGTATCAGGACAGAGAGAGAGAAAAAGTAATATATATTATATGCGCATATATTATATATAAATATGCTTAATATATTATGTAATATGTATCACCTATAACTATATTATATGTAAATATGTTTAATATATTATGTAGTATATGTCATATATACTGTTATAACAAATTTATATTCTTTATATGTATGTTTTATATATAATATTTACTATATGTCTTGTCCATTTCTTGCTCCCTTTTCAATACATTCAAATGGAAATAACACTAGATGTGAACTTCTAAACAAAGTAATTTTATCTATGAATTAATCATTAGAGGTCATTTTGCCAATCAATGCATGTAATTTTAAAATGTTCTTTATCCTTGTATTTTCTCTCCCTAAGAAATAATATCTCTGCTTCTTAAATATATCTCCTTACATTTATCAGTGTAAAGCTTATACAACCTCAAATGGGAACATCAAGGGAAATACACTTGTATGTCTCTGAAATAAGGAACACATATAAAAAAAAAAAAAACAGTACTTCCAGCTAATAAGTCCATAGCCAAAGAAGAAAGAGACAATCCAATACATCATCATAAGGGTGTTTTAACTGAAGGTCAAAGTTTGCATAATGTTGGGTATTAACTTAAATTTTCATTGTCAATACTTACATCTTCCATTTATTAATACAAAAGGATTCACAGTACTGTAAAAACATGATAACTGCATTCATTTAAATAGATTGTTTTCTCTTACAATAACGAGTTATTGTAATTGAAAGGTTATACAAAATCTGTAGTATAACTTTGAATTTGGTTTCTATTAAACATACCATAGTCCCAATTACCCACATGTTTGTTTGTTTTTTTCTTTGGTCAGTCATGGGGCTTGAACCCAGGGCCTGGGCACTTTCCCTGAACATTTTCTGCTCAAGACTAGCACTCTACCCCTTTTTGAGCTGCAGTACCACTTCCAGTTTTCTGGTAGTTAACTGGAGATAAGAGTCTCAGAGACTTTCCTGTTTGGGCTGGCATCAAACCATGATCCTCAGATCTCAGCCTCCTGAGTAGCTAAGATTCCACATGTGTTCTTAAAGTGCTCAAGAATAAAAGCAATAGATTTACTTTGCAGATAAAACTGAGTAATGGAGATAAGACTGGTTAAACTGAATTCTAGAATTTAAAGAAGTTTGATATTGACTTGGTTTAAAGATGTTTTCCCCTTTCAGTGTGTTTTTAAATATTAATACAGTACATTTTCATTTCATTAAATTGATTATTTCTCAAAATAAATGATCTCCCAGTTGGAGATAAATTGATAGAAGAAGCAACAAATAATGGAAGAGTTTTAAGTATCCCTGGAACTCACTTGTTTAAGGTTTGAAATGGGAACTTGAAATGAGCCATGAACCCCAAAATAATTTGCTGATCTTTTAATTTATCCTGGCTTAATTTTTAGCTCAATATAAATTTACTTACTTACCCAGGAGGCTGATATCTGAGAATCATGGTTCAAAGCCAACTTGGGCAGTAAAATCCGTGAGACTCTTATCTCCAACTACCAAAAAAAGCCAGAAATGGAGCTGTGACTCAAAATGATAGAGTGCTAGCTTTGAGCACAAATGCTGAGGGACAGTGCCAAGCCCTGAGTTCAAGCCCCAGAATTAGCAGAAGAAAAAAAAACTGAAATAAAAACCATCCCACTGAGTCAATTTGAACCAAAATTAAATAGGAATGTTTAACTGTTGAAACTGAATATTAACATGATTTCTAAACTAAGAAAAATTCATTTCTGTCCTATTTGACTACCTTATCATATCTTACAGGGCAGACAAGATAAAAATGAAAAGATGCAAACAATATCCCTAAGCCCAATATTCACAATAGAACTAAGAATTACAAACAGTCCCAGCGTGTGCTATCTCAGCACACACTGTGTGATGTTCAGAAATAATAATAATAGCAATCCATCAAATCAAACAACAGAGGCCATGATTGCTCATCTCCCATTAAAATTACTGAATACCTGCTTTATGAGAAAAGAAAGCATAAAAAAAGGCAACATGGAAATGTGTAGTTTGACTCAGCAGTCCCTCTTCTAAAATACATTTTTCTCCTTTCTCCTGACAATACACATTAAATAAATCTAAGCCAATGTTCTCTACACACTACACAGCCAATCCGTTGGTGGAAATTATGTAGATTCATGGAGTAATTTAAGAAGGAGGGCAAGAAGAAGCCAGCTGAAACAGCAGGTAGGGGCGGGGGTGGGGAATATAGCCAGGGCTCTGGCAAGTAAAGCTTCCCTAGCCCTCTCTGCCAGTGCTCTGGTTCCTTTTGTGGTCAGATAGATTGATTCAAATAACTCCATAGCCCAAGCAGCCTACTAATTCCCCTGATGGAAAAAAAAAATATGTATATATCCAGTAGTAACTGTTCCAAAACAAGAGCTAGCTCAATAATTGTCATTTTTTCTCTTCCTTATTTAAGCTGTTGTGCATTGTGCAAGGTTCTCAGTACTTCCAAAAGCATAAAAAGAAGTACCAGGCTCATAGCATTTATATATAAAAGCAAGTATTGTAAGTGCCTGATTGAACGCACTAGATCACCAAGTGTGATCTTAGTGTCTCTA